TGAAAAGCTGTGCCGAATTCGCCTTAGTTCCTCAAGCAAGAAGATCGGATCGCATCTCCATTACTGCTAAGGAGTTGTTCGAAAAGAGGGGAAACTGAAGCTTGGTCCTACTGGAACACGTTTAAAAAAGAAGAAGAAAGAGAGAAAATGAATGCCGGCTGTAGAAGAGCTTTGCAGGAAGACCTACATCGGTACAGACAAAAGAAACTACTGCAAGCAGCAGAGAAAATAAGCAGTCTGACAAAATGTCGTCGGGACTTGCGTGACTAGTGTTCCGCTGTCAGCCCTGATGAACGTGGGATCGTCAAAACTTGCCGCTATGATATGAAATTAATAACGGAAACTTCTACACCAACTTTTTCAGCTCCCCAATCCTCGTTCCGGACCCTCATATCTCCGCTGATGAAAAATCACCAGGAATTTTTTCTCCGAGGTTTGAGTTTTGACGGAAAGAATGAAGAAATGCACAGTTATAGGATCCGATAATATCAATATCACTGCCGACTTCCTTGCAGTTGGAAGCTACAATTTAAATGTACTTTTCGCAAACCATATGGCAGCCTACCTTCAAAAGAAAGAAATCCCAAACTAGTGCAAGATGTCTCGCACGGTCATCCTGCCCAGGAAAAGTTGCCGAAAGGATCCTCGTAACTATCGTCCGATATAGTTGTTGAGTGTGCTCTACAAGCTCTTCACGAAGACTATCCTCTCGCGCAAATCAAAGACATTGGATGAGGCGCAGCCAGTTGAGCAAACAGGATTTTTACAGCGATTCTGCCACATGGTTTACACAGAAACCCTGTCCAGCGTCACAAGTTTGTCGGTATTACCACACGCCCCTACTCGTAGCATTTGTCGGCTATGAAAAAGCTTTTTACAGCAGCGAAACGAATGTAATCATATCAGCACTCGTCGACCAAGGAGGAGACCCGCTCTGCGTAAGAACTGATCTGACTTTAATCGGAAATGCACCACAAAAATACAGCTTTTTCATCATCCTCTCAGGACACCCATAGGAAAAGAGATTCTATAATGAGACACCACATCGCCAAAACTGTTTAGTATCGCGTTGTATTTGATAATGAAGTCGCTTGACTGCGATAAAAAAGCATACGTAATGATGGAAAACTGCTATCAAATCTTTGTTTAGCTGACGATATCGTCATCTTCTCAAGAAGTACCAGCGAAGTAGAGACGATGACCAATGAGCTCAACGAAGCAGGAAAGAAGATGGGACTACATATAAATCGGAAGAATACCCAGCTCATGAAAAACCAATAGTGCGAAGATAAACACATCAAACTGGATCGTTCTCTTATTACATAGGACACCTCGCATTTATACCTTGGCAGTGAAATGAGCATGGAGAACAACATAAAGGAGGAACTGGAGAGAAAGAGAACAACAGTATAGACTGCAATCGATTCTCTTAAAGAATCCACCGACCAAGTAACGGGCCTGAAACTTCACACCTATTCGACTCGATGGTCTTACCCCCGCTCTGTTATGCAGCATAGACGTGGGCTGATACTTTAACCATGTCAAAAATGCTGCACACTACTCAAGCAATGTTTGAACGATTTCTTCCGAAGTTTAAAATCCGAAAACAACATTACCCCGGAAAACGAAAATCAAATCTTCGAAGTCGACTCCATTCTCGATATCCAGAAGATTAAATATGGATAACGACATATATATGCACATGTACATATATATACACCTTATTCACTTATATGTATATATATACATATATATACATGCATATATATATATACGTCAGAACATGTTTGTAACTAAAACGAGATCACTGTACTTGCAGCTGCTGTTGTTTCACATATCACTGTTTCAGACTCTCACCCACCACCAAGCTCAAATCAACACACCGCTGTGGACTACCGCAAGGCAAAGAAACGAATGGAGAATGTACTGGGGTTCGCAATCATAGCTCGTAGGAATTGTATCTTCTAGACTAACATATGGACATTATATTCGCGATAATCCAGATGAACTTTTCAGAATTTCCTTTTCTGAGCTGTTCCTACAATTATTACAGCATGTTCTTAGGGTAAGTCTTCCTGCTATGGCAATTTTCATTTCTTATCAGCCTTATTAGCTGTGTTACAGTATGCACCTCACACTTCTGTGGACATGTAAACATCTTTTTTTAAGAACTGAGGCGCATATGACACAAGTTGACGACCATTTAGTCGTCTGTTTGTTTAGTCGTCTCTTCGAAATGCCAGTCGTGCTGTGAGGACATTTCATCCATCACGTTTTCCTCATACATGACGTTTTTTTTCATATTTGGAAAGCCGCAGCGCTTTTCCTGATCATGTCGTTGGTATTGACATCAAGCTACTTCTATGTTCAAAGGCGAGGTTCCTTCTTCTCCAAAAGTGACTTGCCTTGCAAAAACAGTGTTGTAAAGATGGCTTCAATTTTTGTTTGCCTTTTCCAGGTTTTGTTGCTCTGTCTTTACTTTCACTGATTTTTTTCCGCCCTTGAAATCTCCAATAAAAATTTCACGCAAAGGGCTTTAACTGTGGCGGTTCGAAAATCAGTAAGGAACGTGCCTGTCGTGCTGACAATGTTATAAACCAGAAGAGAGGTTGCAATGAGTAAGCTTGAAATCTAAGTTGGATTTTCCATTCACACTTCTACTACCACATCTGTAAGCCTCTTTTTAGTAGACAACCCACAAAAGCAAACACAAAACAAATATATCTCACTTTCTATCCATTCTTAATAAATCATTACATTTAGAACCAAAGATTCACGCTAACACAGAACTAATTTGTTAGGATACCATATGGACAACTTAAACTATGCAAATACAGAAACCTTCAAGTTAGGAAAATTATAATGACGCACCATCGCATTGACGATCGGCATATGACAATCCAGTGTTTTCAGGGTGTATCTCCAATCTACAAAACATTCGATTATTTATTTATTTAGATCAGACCCAATTCGAAGAAAGTAGGAATCACACTGTAGAAAGAGATACATAGAACAGAAATGGCAAATGCACTATACACTCGCCTTGGCGTGATTTTATGCGTCCTTGTTGATTCCAAGCTGTTCAGCAAGCGAAGAGCCACTTCAGAATATTGTGGTCCTTCAAACATCAACTTATTAAATTCCTCAGTGGTTAAGTGAGTCAAGGAAGCTGACGAAAATAAATAAATTACTACGAAAGACTTTGAAAAGGACTAAGTCCGTAATAGAAAGGAAAACTAGAAAACAACGCACTCTCTCTGACGCGGTAAGGAGAAACTGACGAGGTACTGAGATCACTGGGTGGTTTGAATTGAATTTTACTGAACGAATACGAATTTGTAAGAAATTCCAATTACTTGAGAAGGTCTAACAACAGGACTATATGAACATAGACATACTGAGAATGTGTAATAAATCAAAACTAATCGAAATTTCGAAACGAATCCATACTTGTGAAGGCCACGCCTCTTCCTATTAACGCTCTCTTCATTCAGAATCATAGAACGGAGGGCTGTCATAGTGCTACATTCTACATTGTCTGAGCTAGAAGAGTTAGCCGAATTTTCTTGAATATCAGTGGACATAAAGAATGAAAAATCGCCTTTATCCATCTTTTCACGCAGTTCTAAAATCATGTTCGTTATTAAAAATGCAAATTACGATCGATTATGGAATAAAAGGCTACCAGTCGAGTTTCTGTTCTGCTGAGACAGTTGCGTGAAAGCATCGGAAACTGCTTTTGGCATAGAAATCTCTAGTTCTTTCGCAGCAACCTTAACACTATAACATGTGCTTAAAAGTCGAACAACTACGTTTCTGTATTACGCTATTAGAATGCACTAAAAATAAGGATGAAGCTCTAGGAGTTGATCAATCTTTGAGGGATGCGCCATGCATTCGACTTCAGTAAGCATCGTGGGAGGTGATTGAAAGCATATCTGGCCTTTATAAATTTACTCGCGGTGTGCCAACGATGTATCAAGCCAGTGCTGCAAACCCCCAAATAAGTCTGCTACCAATTTACCAAACCCGGAGGGATGCAGAGTTGGTGGGATTGTGGCACTTGATTCATCTCATGTGTATTGCAGGGCGCCTCCGACCACTGCGCTATACGCGCCTTTCTAGAATGCACTACAACTGAAAATACTGAAAAGTGAACAAACCATTGCCTCAAGATAAGCCTTCTGCTTCTTAGCAAGGCACAAAATACTATCAAGTGCATCCTCACAGATCTTCATATCCACTAAGAAGAGAGCCTATAAAACATTTTAGAACCCAAGTTTTAAAATGTCCTGCATTCATTATAAATACTAAAAACGAAGAATATACAAGCTTTCAGAAGTGTCACTGAAAAAGTTTGACAATCAAGATTAGACTAAAAAGCATTCCTAAGAAGGGCACATCTGATAATGAAAATGTAGTTAGCATTAATGAGCAAGCTTTGAATTTATATAGTCAATATATAGATAATGATTAAATACTAATAATAATTTTAGTCTCACATTGGTTCACCGCCTCACTATGGCTGGGACGTGTTCCTGGGTGTTGGGCTGCGATGTACAGCGTAGGGTTGTTTTTGGATTCATCCCTACAGTAGGGCCTCCTAAACCAAGGAGCCCGGCGCTACCATCAGGAAGCCTAGCTAAGAGTGAATCAATAACAGGATCCACCACCGTCCTGCAATCAAACTAGTCGCATGGTGGCAAACCTCGCTCTGGTCCACAAGGGCGGCAAATGTCTTTGGTGGTGGCGACCTGGGGCAGACTGGCCCGACTGACCTCGAGACTCCAAGTAACCACAATGGCTAAACCAGCAAAACTTCCAAAGAAATGGAAATTATGCCGAAAAGAGTGAAACCAGTGAGGCATCCAGGTATCCAAGTAAGTAGGTAATAATTCTAGTTCTAATACATTTATATGACAATGTATATCGGTTGTACTGCTGTACGTTGCGCGATATGTATTATGAAGAAAAAAGTGGCGATATATAAATACTGTTAACTACATGCTCAAGGACATTCTGCACATAGATGTGAGAACGGATGACGGTACACATACCTCGTATTCATGAAGAGTAAGCACATCCTCTTGTCCATGAACAAGAATCTTCGAGTCAAATTTCGTTCGCTCCGCAATTTCCAACTTCAATGCATCAGCAGCAATTCTGCACTCCTTCACAGTCTTAGGATAACAATCGTCTGAACTTGCCATTATAAAACTGAAAAATCACATCTACACCGCCCGATATAAATGAGAAAGTAATCTAAACAAGTGCAAAAACGCAATGTCCTATGGAGTTTCCGTCGATAAATCTGAGGCTAGGAAGGGATTACGATTCTTCTTGAGAAAAGAGGATGAAATTGAAAGGTTAACAAACTCTGATCACTCAATAGATCCCCGTTACTTATTACTTAAAGTACTATAATTACTACTAGCATACTACCTATGGTACCAGTATACTACTTTAGTACTATACTACTATAACACTATACTTACTACTACTTACTGTACTTATAGTACCAATTACATCTGTGGCAATATTTCAACCCGCCCAAGGTAGAAACTAAATATGTCATGATAGCAACTTCCAGAGTTACTGTCATTTTACATCTGTACCAGATTCAAACGCCTTAGATCAAAATAGGTTAACCGGTGGCATAAGTCTAGGAGAAAGCCTAGAATGGGAAACGGCTTCTCAAAGTACCTAGGTTAAAACGAATCTTTTGGAAGATGTGAGATTTCGTGTCATCCTTTTCATGATAACCTCTTTGGCTGAGGTAGGTGTGAAGCTTTCCCTACATTCTCATCTCACTAAGCAACTGGGGACAAGAAAATCTGGGGTGATGGTTTAACTCAATCATAATGGACTCAGCCTCTCTTAACACAGCGCTGGTTCTGAAGTTTGTTTTTAAATTAGAACATCTATTTTGTTTCCCAATTCCCAAGAATCAAACTGCGACATACAACGGGAAGTTCACAACTAGGACAGGTAACCCAAGTACTTCAGCATATGGCATAGAAATCTGCAAAATGGCAGGTCTCCTTCCGATCAACGACAGCAAACGAGTGCTTACGGTGACGATTTCGAAACGTTCTCTTTTGTACAAAGTCCTTTGTCTTTATTGTTTTGGGAAGAGGATACCCAGTGATACCTCTGTCTCCACGATAAAAGCTACATGTACTCGCTGGTATTTCAAGCTAATAAACTTCGTAAATAATTGTGAATAAGGGACTACTCGGGCTAGATAAAACATGGAAACTTGTCTTCAACGTTACATGTAGAAAAAAACTTGGAAAGCCTTTAGAAAAACACTGACAGCGAACCAAGCAACAACTGCTAGAAAGGACAAGATCACAACAAACGAGGCTGGTGATTACAAGGAAACTTGAAGGCAAAATTCTGGCATGTCGCAATCTGAAACGAAACAACTCTCTAGAGAATCGAAACACAGCCGTATAAAGACCGTGCTTCTCTTTAACCCATCAAAAAGTAGCTTATAGGTCTATTCATAGACATTTGATACATTTGCACAAAAAAACTCTAACGACTCTGTCAGCTTACTTGTGCAAAAACAAGTTGTACCATGAGCACTTAAGAATGTGTTTATAGGAAAACGCATTTCGCGGCCATCAAACAGAGAACTGCGCGTCGACCGTTACTCCATGTCGATACGCAGCCACGTATTTTCTAGTTGAGGACCGTGGGTTGGTCCCATTTCTGCCTCAGTTGTTGCATTCCTTATCCTTTTGATAAACCCGTTATCCTTCTGTGCTACCTTTCTGTCTTTTGTTTTGTCATTTGTAAAATCGGATTACAATCACATTTGTAATGTCATCATCGTAGAAAATGAGTAGGACAAATTCTTTTTATAGATGTCCGTGCAGCACTATGGCTGAATTGGTTATGTCTTTCTTGACTTCTCTTTATTCACAGTAGTAGTCATAGAGGTGTCGTTTAGTTGTGCCAAGTTTTCCTCATTGTTATTTTCTAACGTATATTGGCATCATCTCATAGGACTATGTGCCTGGATACTTGGATACTTGGACAGCCCGTCCTCACTGGTTGTGCGGCAAAAACCTCAACCCAGCAAACTCTCCACCTCTTTGAGCTTTGTTGGCTCAGTCATTGTGTTCCCCGGAGTTCTGAGACTAGTCTGGCCAAAGTCTGCCCCAGGTCGCCACCACCACGGGCGGCCATCACCCCTGTGGATCAGCGGGAGATTTGCCACCATGCGGCCAGATTGATACTAAGACGGCAGTGGATCCTGATATCGGAATCGGCTTACTCTTAGCTGTGCTTCCTGGTGGAAACGCCGAACTCCTTAGCTTGGGAAACCCTGCTGGGAGATGAATCCTCCGCCATACCTCCCAGTCCGACATCTAGGAAAACATGCCAGCCACGATGAGTTGTAATCTAGAAGCTTTGAAGTTGTCACTCTTATTCGCTCACCATCCCTGAAATAGTCATGTTGTATCAATTTTCAATTAGTGTCGTTGCTTGCTAATGTAGAAGGGGTTAGTTCATGTCAGTTTCAGCAGATCATCGAGGATTCTTGCAGAGCAATATGGCCGATGCAGGAGGGTTCGTACTTCAATATGATTTCTTTGTGAGAGTTTCCGTATGTCGTGCTTCTTTACAGAGATGAAGTAAAAATGGCATCGGCAGCACCAGCAATCATGGATGTACAGGGTGCATTGAAAGCTGTTTTACGGTCTGCCAATTTTGCTGATGGGCTCGCAAAGGGTCTCCATGAAGCTGCCAAGGCCCTTGACAAGTAAGTACCTATTCCGCGTTTGTTTTCATGCACACATAAACGGAGTATATGGTTTTTAAATGGTCTGTTCTCTACCTGTCGTGTGCTAGAAAGTAGGCCGACTTGCCACATTCGCTTTGTCTCATCAACACTGTGAATGCCAAAGAAAGCCAACAAGAAGTCTTAGCAAAATAGTTTTCTTTTCTTAGTGATGTTGTTGAACAAATGACTCATCGTATCTAGGTGATAATTTAGGCGTGAGGCACATTTTTGCGTTCTGGCTGAGAACTGTGATGAACCAATGTATGTGAAGCTTGTTGAAGCTCTCTGCAATGAACATAATATCCCTCTCATCAAGGTGTCTGACAAGAAAATCATAGGAGAATGGTGTGGTTTGTGCAAATATGATAAGGAAGGTAAGGCACGGAAAGTTGTCGGGTGCTCTTGTGCCGTCGTCAAGGATTACGGAAATGAAGAACAAGGGAAGCAAGTTCTGCAGCAGTACTTTGATTCTAAGAAGTGATTGTTATTTGTTGGAATAAATTGTTATGTAACGTTTCTGAACATAATGGTGTTTGGGTGGAACCTTAGTTACATTTTCAATTCGCAAAACTTATGCCTCTGTCGTTTTAACAACGCATGATACAATTCATAGTTATCCAAAGCACGTAAAAATTTCCACAATCCTGCATAACTTGACATCTTGTGCTGTAAAAGGATTTGCATAACTGGCGTGACATCCACCTAAAGAATGACAGGTTTTAGCGGTTGTATTCACATCAGATTTTTGAGGGATTCTGACTCTAGTTAGTACAACACAATGATAAATGCGAAGTTATCTTTGTTTTAGCAGATTTGTGAAAAGTTTTGAGTTGTGGTGGCCTTTCGATGTTATGGTGAGGAAACTACGCTTGTTCGTTATTGTAGTAGTGAAGTCGAGTGCATGTTGTAGAGTGCTTTTTACGCTTGATCAGCGGAACTGTCGCATATTTTGGTTACACAGATTAGCTAGTATACAAAGTTCACCACGGCTCTCTCTAATAAAGGAATCTCTTCCCGATTAGTTGCGAGGCAGCTTGATGCGTCCCTGTGTGGCCGATACAGGGTTGGTCACGGATCAAAAGTGACCTGCTTCCCCTGAGACGTAGGTGGATCTGAGCCATCTTAACTCAGATGACACGGACGCGGGGCACATAATGCGCTGAACACAGGCAATGTACAAAGGCCGTTATGTGAAATGCATTTCGAAGACTGCCAACCCGATGGTCAGAGTTCTTCAAGGAAGCCATAGAAAAATATGATGACTAACGAATCCCTACGGCTAACAAAGCCCACTGGGTTACTCTTACACATGCTAAGAAGAAATGAAAGACTTACTGGCGCCTGTTCCGGTTAATCGACAATCAATGGAAAAGCAAAGACCTCGGTTGTTGTTGCGGATAGCATGTGAGTCCCTGGAAAGGGAGTTTGCTGGTTTGAAACCCAACTGAGGTAATGAGTTTTGCTCATATTATTTTATGAAAACTAGAAAGTTGGTTGGTTATTTTATTTATCATTGGCTGACGTATTAATGATAACGACAGGAGAGTAGAGAATTTGATCTCAGCTGGTTTCATTGGGTTATTTTTGTGGAACGGTTTTCAGTGCAATGTACTGTGGGACGTTGTTGTTAACATTACGATGCTAGACTGAAGCTCCCTTTGTTCATGTGTTTGCTCCATTGCGATGCGACAATCGCACCGCAGTCATGAGCAAATGTTCTTGTGCAGGTGTTTGTCTTCGAGGTTATAACAGTATCCCTTTCTAGGCAGGATATATAATGAAGGTGACATTTATTTTGATACGTATAGCAGATAACAGGATTATCGTCGTCCCGTTGATTGTGGAGTGACTCGATCAAGCGCCAGTAAATGCTGCATTTTCCCTGTCGCATGGAAGAGTTGCCCAGTGTGTTGTGCTCGCTCTAGGGACTCGTCGAGCATCATATCTGTCTTCTAAGCATTTCGTGAAGAAATCTGGCTATCAGTTCGACGCTCTTCCTGCAATGCGTTTGACATCCTGAAGGAATCCAGTAACTAACGGCTTTTGTCCATTGGTTGTCGCTCATACGGATTACATGTCCGGCCCAACTTATCTTCGACAATTTAGCGTATAGAACGACATTCTTGATTTTTGACCGTTGACGTAGATCGGAACTTCTGATCCTTCCCCTCACTTGCTTGATACGAGGTACTCCTAACATTATACTTTCGATCGTTTACGTGTTCAATAGCGCCGTGACCTTTCGTCATGCTTACGCAGCGATCAGGTTTCTGACGCATACGCTAAGACGAAGAACTGCGGAGTCGAGAAGGTGGGCTCGTAGTCGAGTGCTTTTTGTTCTCTTTACCATATCTTCGATATTTCCGAGAGGAAAAAAGACGAGCCCGCCCATTGCCTCCTGCTTAACCGTAAAGCTAAGGCGTTCATTATATTGATTTTCCGACCTACGTAGACGTAAATGGAGCATTCCGAGATATTCATTCCGTTGAGCATGAATGGGGAGTACGTAACAAATCTGCTTTTCATTATCATCGTTTTGGTGAGAGTTTGTCGAAGGCCAGTTTTTCCATAGGTTTCATCAAAGTAGATACGTTCCACCTGGTTAATGTTTGATATTATAAGGACGGTGTCATCAACAAAAACATGACAATGTAACTGTCGATCATCGATTTGCACTGCTATACTATCCCATTCCAATGTTCTCATGATCGCTAATCATTGGTTTCCGAACTCATGTTGCCTTATTCCAGTATTCCCAGAAGCTACAGTAGGGTGACAACAAATAAGTTTGGAGAGGTGGTATCGCCTTATCTAACTCCTTTTTATATGCTTAGTAGGGATGTCTATCTAGTTCAACTGAGCTGAAAGCTTCGCTTAAATCAGTGAACGTGAAGTATGGCAATCTCGTGTTTTTTTGCCATACTTAGGTGGGCGGTTTTACCGTCGATTTAATTCTAACGATTCTCTTCGTTTATGCTTCCTTTTTTGAGGTGGTGTGTAATTAAAGGTCGAGAAAGACAAGCGTCTTATAGTTTTCCGTAGAAATATTCTTGACGAAATTTTGTAACGAGCTGTTCTTGACAGGTTATGGTTCCAACACACAATAAGGATAGAATGGGAGCCGAACTACACTTACTAGGGTTCAATATTACACACAGGTACCGTCTAGTGTTATATTTGGTTCATAATCTGGAGAATAAAAAATGATGCAAGATGTAAAACTCTCGGCGTGATCAATCCCTGAGGGATGCGCTGTGCATTTGACTTCATTGACCATCGTTGGAGATGAATGAATGCATACCTGGCTTTTACGATGACTCGCGGTGTTCTACCAATGTATCAAATCAGTGCTGCTATTCTCCGAGACAGAGCTGATATCAAATTGCCGATCACGGAGTGATAAAAGTCTTGGTGAGCCTGGGGTGCGGGATCGAACCCATGTGTGCAGGGTGCCTCTAGCCACTACGCTACACACCTCCCTTCCAGGCAGTATAGTTGTATTTAATGTCCGCGCAGTGACAAAACTCTGATCACTCCTCCTGAAACTGCTGTCATTATTTCCATCAAAGTATAAAATTCTCGGCGTTGATCAATCCCTTTAGGATGCACCATGCATTCGACTTGATTAAGAATCGTTTAAAGATGATTGAACGCATGTCTGGCCTTTATAATGACTCGCGATGGCCTACCGATGTATCGAGCCAGTGCTGATATCCTCCCAGACAAGTCTGATACCAATTTGCGGACCCCGGAGGGATAGAAGGCTTGGTGAGCCATGGGTGCGGGGATCAATTCCATCTGTGTGTGTCGAAGTGGCGCCTCCAACCACTGCGCCACACGCGCCATATTTATTTCCATTACTTCTCTTAAATTGCCTAGATGTGTATACAATAGCCGAGGAAATTAGTGGGTGTATGGATTCATTACTACATTCATTGTTACTCGGGGTAAATTCGTTAATAATCACCATTTAGTATTTATAGATACCTGCATTCCCCGAAGTTTATTTCCTCACCGTGGCATGGGTGGTGTACTGGGCGTCAAACTGATAAGTACAGTAGGTAGTTCATACCTGGCAGCGTCACTGAAACTCAAATGAAGTTGGGTACTTCCGTTCCAAAGCCAGAAATAGGCAGTCAAATACTAGGATTCCCTACAACCTGGAATGGCGTAATGGTAAGCTTGCAATTCTGCTTCATCTACATAAGAGCCGCTGGCGACCTGTGTTCCAGCTTGAGATCCAGCATTTTTTCACGAATCGTGTTATTCCGGGCTTCTAATAACCGGAGCTCCTGACTTTACCTCGCAATTCAGTATTGCTAAGAATCTTCACAGTACTTACTCTCAAATTCTACAGTAGTTGTGGAATGGTTTGTCACGTTTGAGCGCTTCAACCAATTTTTTCAGTTCCCCAGCTCGAACGATCATATTTGGCCTTTCAAAGTCTTTTTTCTCGAGGTTTTAATCTCCTGGTTGAATCTTGTCGAACCAGCGACGTGTGGTTCGATTGTTGACAAAACGGACTCTAAATGTGGAGACTAACGTTTTGCATTTGGTACTTGTAGCAGCATTACGGTTCCCTCTGAATATTATGTTACATTCATTGTTACTCGGAGTAAATTCTTTAAAAAAATTAATATGTTGGTTTTTTCCGAACGAATGACTGGGATGCCTTTGAACCCGAAGAAGTGAAACAAACAGATGTACCATGCAACTACAGTGGTGCTAAGATATGAGCAAAACTCGGAACCCCAAGGAGCTTCGCACCCGCTATTACCCGTTCCAGGGGCTTACGTGTTATCCACTGCACCACCGAAGCCCTTACTTTTCCAATCTATCGGCTAGTTTTTTAAAAGAAAGAAATCTAGGATACTTCTAAAATCCCGGGTTAGTTCTGAAAAACCGTTCATAAATGGAAATTCATCTTGATGAAAAATAGTCTGAACCTCCAGCAGCTCATAATGAACAGCCTAGTATAGTTTCTATTTGATATTCGACTATTAATATAATCGGAACGAGACTCGTTTCCCTACTTTTTAAAGTTTCTAAAATTTCCTACGCAAACAACGAATCCGTAAAATTGAACGGTACTTAGGGGAACATCATCTTGTCTGACTTCACCAAACCCCGTTTGTTCAGTTCCTTCCACGTAAGAACTAGGAGGTTTAGTGCAAAAAAGTGAAGAGGTACCTTTCATACACGTCATTATTTGCGAACCATATGGTTCGAAGTATGGTCACATCATTGCGTATACGTTAGTCAGAGGATTGTTAAGGTAAAGTTGAAAAGGGTTGTATTTTTCATTTACTGGGCTCTCCTAGTATTTAACACATAATCATCGTTATTCTCTGTTACCTGTTATTCTGTTAGAGTATTTAATTTACTGTGTTACTTGTGTAACTTGCTGTTATTCTGAGAATACGATCTTATTGTGGCCGAAGTATTTGTGATAAGAATCATTGGTGCGCAGACATTCTTGCCCTCCTACCTTTGTATTTACGCTTCAACTGTTTATTGAAACTGAACAAGTAAGAAGATACGTGTCTATGTGCGTTCTTCCGAACTGGCCTAGTTGAGCTGATGCTTTTGAGTCACTAAGAAGACATGGTTTCGATTTGACGAAGTTATTTTGAAGGTGGGAGAGGGATAGCACAGTGGTGAATGTGCCGATCATCACGAATGCGGTGCTGGTTCGACCCTGCATAGGGATCCCGAAGCTCCCATCCGTCTAAGGTCGTGAAATTGGTACCGGACTTGTCCGGGGAAAAATCCCTTTTGTAATCCAATTGGCGACGCTCTAGCCCTGCTATCTCAGGGCTAGGGAGCATCAATTAGACCAGCATTCTACGACATTCAAAATGAAATGGAAATCCTCAAACAGCAAACGAAGCTATATGTAAAAGTTGAATGATGGATGGACGAAAATGAATCGAATGTCAGAAATGCTAGTATCCGGACAGTGCTCGGAATTGTGTTATCTGCAACAGCTGAAATGTTCATCGTTGCAGTCGGCAAGAGTTCACACTAGGTTTTGTCTCCTATCTGCTCGAAGGGAATGAAGGATTTATTTTAACTCATAGCTCATGCCGTTTCTACATTTTAAGATGTCGATCATTTTGTTTGCAAAAGTTGGGATTGTGAATAGTTGATAGCATTAAAGCTGCTCGGATGAGGAAATTCAGGGTAGAACATCTCGTCAAGTTTAGTTCCTATGCCTGTCATGTTCGCGAAAAAGTTCTGTTCTAGATCGTACACATGGATTAATGGTTGCGAAGAATGTCTGTTCTACCTTTATTTCCTGTGTACATGCTTGGATCGTAGGAGAACGCGTGTGGCGCAGTGGTTGGAGGCGATCGATCCTTACGCCCATGGCCCACCAAGTCTTCCATCCCTCCGGGGTCGGAAAATTGGTACCAGACTTGTCTGGGAGGATAGCAGCACTGGCTCGATACATCGGTAGGCCACCGCGAGTTATTGTAAAAGCTAGATATGTATTAAATCAACTCTAACGATACTTGGTGAAGTCGAATGCATGGCGCATTCTTCAGGGATTGATCAACGCCGAGTGCTTTATACTTTTTTATACGTGGATACTTGGATGACCCCTCCTCACTGGTCATGCGGACTCCGCTATATTCTCCATTTTTTCGGAGTTTTGCTGGTTTAGCCATTGTGGTTCTCTGGAGTCTCAAGGTTAGCCGGGCCATCGTCTCCCTCAGGTCGTCACCACCACAGGCAGTCACTGCCCTTGTGGATCAGTGGGAGATTTGCCGCTATGCGACTAGTTTGATACCAGAACGGTGGTTGATCCTGGTATTGGTTTACTCATTGTTGGGCTTCCTGGTGGAAACGCCGGAAACCTCAACTTGGGAGAACCTGAGAAGGTGGATGAATCACCCCGCTGCACATCGCAACCCCAACGCAGGAACACCTCCCAGCCACGATGATTCCTATGTATGTAGCGTTATAAGTCCTCACTCATGTCTTTATCATAATCTTAGTCCTATAAAGAAAAGATTTTAAAATTGGACTACGATTGCGATTTTAAACGCGGAAAGCGTTAAAACTTAGCAGTACCACTGTGCAATTGGAACTACGACGAATATGAAGGAAGCGAACACATTGTTAGGTTTGCTTCTTTAAGCCTACTTTCCTCGAGAACGAGGAATGTTTGAGAATGGTAACTTTCATTTGAGGTTTACTATGTAAAGCCAAGTTGTCGGAAAAATGTTGAAAACAAATGATGAACAATCTTTTTTTTCTTATACTTGAGTACTACACGTTGGGCATTTAAGAACTCTATCTTAGGAAACCGTTCCCTCTTTCTAAAAAGCCTTTGGTTTTCTTCATAGAATACTTAATTCGTTATGAGCACCTTATATGAGCTCAAGTCAGTGTTGATTTCTTACCTAAGTTTATGCTCGAGTGAATTGTTCCTGTCTCCTATTTAGTCCACCATGGCTCCAGTTCACACTTCTTTCGACGGCCATATTTGTTCTCTATGTCGGTTATGGTTATATGCAGGTATGTTTCTCCAGCTTGTTCATTTGGATTTTGAACGCTTTCCGAAATTTATTTTCGATGGGAAGGTTTGCATTGAAATTTCTTCTGTTTCAGTTCATTTAGTATTCGGAAGTGGTGAAAGTACCGCTTTAGCTTACAGTACTTTATTTCTCATATTTTTTTTTATTGTTCGGTAATGTTTATTTGCAGCTTTAATTAAGGGGTGCTTTTCGACGTATTCTTGTGTATAACTTTTTCCTGTATCAAGTTCCACTTTTTAAAACAATTGTTTTATTAATTTTTCATTGGTAGGAAACTGGCTGAGAGAAAGACAAAGCAAGATCATGTGTTGCCGTGCGTAATACGTGACCCCCTGGAAAAGGAGATAGGATAATCGCGATTCGATCTGGCCTGAGTGCCAAGTTTTGCAACTAGCTCAGCATCATAGATGGTTGTATTTCACATCATCATTCGCTGCCGTGAAATGTAATAGTAGGTAGTAAGTTAAAAGTGAATACTTTGGTTCCATATATTATTCGTACAAACTGTCCTTGATGAAAAACACATTCGCGAGAATGCTGAGCATGTTTCTGTTTTAAACTTTTCCTAGTTCCTTACGGGATTCAATTTCTGTTTCCTGTAGCTCACATACGCTCTTGGTTTGTGCTAAGTTTTTATTTACTACCCATTATTATTTTTCACGCAACGGTGAGATATCTAATGCAAGCACTATGACACCGAGGTGTCTTAACTTGACCCTTTCAGGCTCTGAGGAAGGCGAAATCCGCCGAAATGTCAGCTTGTGCGTAAATAAAGAAATAAAATAGCACCTCGTGCTTGCTGAACAGAAGTAGAAAGATATATTCAATCAATGCCGAGGTTAATAGAAAGTCGCACTTGGGAGTTACACCGAGGTGTTTTCAGAACTTGAACTGTAGGCCAAATCGAACCGCACTTACCCTTTCCGGGTGCTCACGTGTTGCGCCTGTTGCACCACTGAGGCCCTTGCTTTGCCTTTCTCTCAGCCAGTTTTCTCCAAAACGATGCCATCAGCAATCACCCGTCAACGGGAATGATCTGGGGATCATAAATCAGTGTTAAATCTAGTTAGTAATTGTTTTTATTGACGATGTTCTAAGGGTTTTCTTTAAAATTAAATAACCAAATTTTCTTCAGGAACTCATTTTTCGAATGCCTGGTATGAAACCATTTGGAATGTATCTAACACTTTTCCAATTTATTATATATAGTATTTGCGGATATACGGAAAGATTGTTGTACAGCGAGAATGAGCGGAAGTGAGTGTCTTGTTCTTGACACAAACGTATTCTCCTGCCAAACTTTAATTTTAGTCATTTATAAACTGCAGATATTTCAGGATTCCTTTAAGGATTTATTATCTGCTATCGTTCTTCACTGTTGCAACTATGGGACTGTCGAATGGTTCTGTTGGCTACCTCAATTATCCAACTCAGGTTTTTTCATCCGTTCTGTACAGTTTTTAGAGGGGTTTCCATGTTTCAAATTATTAAGAGTTTACCAAGGTCTTAAGGCCTTAATGAACTCTCGGTTTTTTGGCGGTGGGAGTATGAACATTGTACGGAGTTGTACTGCAATAAGGTATGTAAGGTTGACTAAGCTTGCTGGCTTTGTTTTCCCCATCGTAGTTTTAAATACAATTAGGATTTTGCTAGGAGAAAATGTTGAAGCGGTTAACGTAGCATCATTTTATGCTATTACCGTCAAGGAACTCATGAACTTTCAACGAAAATACCTGTTTTGGTAGCCTTCTTGGTATCTGGTAGAGCGATTGGATTGTACTGAATATATCTACATGACTCTGTTTCCATACATCAGATTTTTTCACAGTTTATCTTTTGTGAATAAAGGTTTCGCTTTCACGGACTTTGTATCTTGGAATTAAAATTCTTATAGGTGATTTTCAAATGTTGTAAACTTGTTCCTGTTCTTATCGGTGGAATCGTTATACAAGGTAAAAAATATGGTTGGGTAGATGTGAGTGCAGCTGTGCTTATGAGCGTAGGTGAGTCAGTCATTTAGGATTCAGTTGTTTTCTGTTTATGTGTTCATGTGTTCTGCATTTCAGTTTGGAAGCATTCCTAGCTCACTATTACGAGCTCGCATCCCGGTTTTTTTGTCTGTTTGAACAATTTTTGAGGCGCGTGCTGCGCAGTGATCGGAGATGTCCTGCAATGCACGAGATCGAACGCCGAGTTCAAGGCCCACGAAGCCTTCCATCTATCCGGGGTCTGCAAATTGGTACCAGAATTGTCTAGGAGGATAGCAGCATTAGATCGGTACATTAGTAGGCCACCGCGAGTCATTGTAAAGGCCAGTTAACTCCAACGTTGCTTAGTGAGGTAGAATACATGGCGCATTCCTCAAGGGTTGATCGACGCTGAGAGCTTTATTCTTTATTTTTATTCGTTTCTCCGGTCATTTAAATTATATTAAGTACAGTTTGGGCGATATGCAACAACTTTAGGAATGATAATGTTCACTCTGGCTGATAGTCATGTGTCTCCTAATTTTGATCCTCGTGGTTACATTATGATATCTGGTGCACTTTTGGCAGACGCAGCCATTGGTAATCTCCAAGAAAAAAACATGAAAAAATATGGTGGATCGACCAACGAAATGGTGTGTTCTTTCCTATAGATGGATCACTATATACTCGCACCCAGTAGTAGATTCAATAGGCAAAAAAAAGTGTCTGTTTTCTCGTTTTACTCTAAATGCGCTGTTGACTTGTTATGTCGACTCTTGGTGTTTGTTTTTAATCTCTGCCTGTTTTATTTCCTTCTGCAATTCCACTAACGATCAAATATCTCGACGAGGCACATTGAACTCCGTTTTCCACATGGATGTTTCAGGTTCTCTACTCTTATTCAATCGGAGCTGTGTACATTTTCGCATACACCATAATTTCCGGCGAATTTACTAGTGCTTTTGAATTCTTCCTCGATGTATGTTTTGATCCCATGTGTTTTTTAAAACCTCAGTTAATAAGTCTTTATGTATAGTCACATAATTTTAGAATCCGCGGGTAACGTATGGATATGGTCTAATATTTGCCCTTTTGGGTTACTTTGGAGTAAATGTTGTGCTGTCACTCATTAAGGCAGGCTCTATGTTCGTCTTTTGTTTTATTTTGTTTGTTTTTTTTTTACTGGACCTTCCATTCCAGGTATGTGGTGCATTTGTTGCCGTTACTGTGACCACTTTACGCAAAGCCCTCACTATTATACTTTCGTTCGTCTTGTTTTCAAAACCATTCACAGTGGAATATATTTGGGCAGCATTGATTATTCTTCTAGGTATTTACCTCAACGTTTACAGGTAAGATTTCCGTCATGTTTGTTTCTCATCTAGTAGAGTCAATAACTGTTATAGAATATAGTTCTAGGAATTTAATGAACAAGGTTTTCACGTAGTTTTTCGAGGGTTGTATAGCGTGCAAAGGTAACCGTTATACCTACAGTCACAAATAGTTCTTTACTAATTTTTTTTTCTGACCCACAATACGCGATCTTGGCTTTGTTCGACAAGGATCATTTTGTCATATTTAATTACTTAGACACTTGGATGGCCCGTCTTCACTGGTTGTGCAGGCCAGCACAATTTCCGTTCTCCAGAGATTTACTGGTTTAGCCATTGTGGTTGGCAGGAGTCCCGAGGACAGCTTGGCCAAAGTCTGCTTCAGGTCGTCTCCACAACAGGCAGTCGCAGCCCTTGTAGTTCAGAGAGATTTGCCACCACGTGACTATTTTGATACCAGGACGATGGTGGATCCTGGTATCGGTTTACTCATAGCTGGGTTTCCTGATGAAGACGCCGAACTCCTTCTCAGCTTGGGAGACTCTGCCGGAGGTATGAATCTTAGCGCTGTACATCGCAGCCCGAGAACCAGGAACACCTTCCAGACACGATAAGACAGTGAACCGTTGGGAGGCGTTTTGTCATAATTAAGTTATATATTTCTAATCTACACTTAGAATGCTGACAATGCGAAGTATAATCCAGTCAAATTTACAGCAAAAATAAGCAGAAATGGGATGCAAAAGTACAGAGCTTCGTTGCTAGACTCATTCCATCATCAAGATCAACTGTATTTGCCAAGGAAGATCTTTTCATGGTGTAAATTTACTGCTTTGTTAGCAGATGGTGTCATTTTTTCCCAGATAACAAGGTGCTGGTCGCTTAACATATCTTCTGTTTCATTTTACTCTTCAAATTTAAGAGTTTTATTTGTAATAACTGGATTACATCTTCGTTATAGTAATATGAGTACATGATGGGTATAGATTACGTAATCTTCTGCTTTATCTATCAATTTTTCTTGCATAATAATGATAAACTTTTATTTGTCATTATTCATAGTCTATACAAGTTAGAGTTAATATGAGTTTTGCCCGCTGACATAAGTGAAGCGGGTGGTTCCGCCAGAAGGTGATGATGCAAGAAACCGCTAGAATAAATGGATAGGACATGAAGGTGATATCAGAATTCAAAGATAGCTAGAAATTTGCTCAGGATGAAGAACAGGGTATGGATGATGAAGAACTGATTCCGGAGAATCTTCATGATGAAATGATAAGTGCATATGCATTGTCAACCCCTGATCAGCCTTATGATAGAACAGAGAACACAACAAAGGATACCAAAGCAAAACAAATTGACATTGTATGGATTAATAAATGTGGATGGCTGTTGAACAGTAGGTTACAACGCCAATTTTTCGGGAGTAAGAACATCACAGTTGTCTCTACAGGGACTACTGTTGAAAGGAAGATACAAGAGATTAAATGATAACTCTGAAAGTAAGCTTGTTTCACTCAAATGTGACAATTTCGATAGAAGACATGACTACTATTCGTATGTAATAGTATTGAGGCCCTGAAGATTGTTATCTCACGCAGTGAAATTGACTTAATATGCTTGTAAAGGTCTCCTTGATGTTCTGCTTAGTAAGCAGGAGATGACGGTCGTGGAGTACGAGGCATTTCAATACTGGACGGAGCATCCAATGGAGTTTCACAGGGGTGAATGACAATTGCTGGTGTGCTTTCATCACCATTATGAATTTCGTATCTGGAACCGCAACATCTTAAGTTAGAAAGGTGAATGGAATTTTGTTTTTATTTCTTTTTTATACTACAGAGTAGTTTTCTTTAACTGTATAGTGGAACTACCTCTTCAAGAAACACCCCTTTGTATAAAACGAGATAAGTGGTCCACAAGTAAAGTCACCAATTGATGAATATACGCATTAGAATAGCTAACGAAGTTTTAGGAATCATTGTATTTACCCACTTATCGTCAATTGCAAACGAGGCCAATCGTGCCATTAGGTCGAAATTACAAATAACTGGTGGCATCTCCTGTAACACAACGGTGTTTAAAAATGATCTAACGGAAGCAACGTGCGTATCTGTACAAGTGCTAAACTGAAGAACTAAAGAAACCTTTGTCTGAGCCCAGCCTAGAGGTGGCGAACACGGCGGAGAGATAAGAAACTGCTTCTCAAGTGGAGGTGGCGAGAGTAGTGATGATGATGAAGAACGACGCAAGACGACTCGCTGTAAACAAGTTTCCTTGAATGAACAAAAGCGCTACTGATTTTTTTTTAGTACAATTATCACTTAAAATAGTTCAGCGTTATTCCAAAGGAAAACTAGTCTGGCTGGTCTCTCAATACATTGCAGTTTAAAGCAAAGCTGGAGTTTTACATTTAAACATAGTAAAAACTTTAACCTTTTTCAATGTTGCTTTTACAATCTGGCTAGGAATTTTGAGCGACGGACTCTACCCCACAATGAACCCAGATGGAGCCAAACACTAACACCTTGTAGCCCAGCAAAGAGTTTAACTTGACTTGTTGGACGGCGATCCAGATGCTATCCAGAATTCTGAATCAAATGCCAGCAAATTCATAAGTGAAAAATCGCAGTGGAGCCACACAAGTCAGCAACTGTGCAGAGATCGAACAAAGTGATTAAGAAACTGTATCCAGGAAAACGCGGGACGTTCGTTGACCAGATCCGTCTTATTTCTTGCAGTAGCAGTTTGCGTAACTAACAAATTCAGCCTTTCAAAAAAGTGGCAGTACTGGAATGTCACTATCAATTATTTTCAATTTGTGATTCGCTTCAATGGAAATAATCGGTCTGAACTGCACTAACGTTCGCCAATGAAGACAACTTTTGAAAGGGCGAAAATGGCGCGGCTTGTTCCCTATTCGCTTAGTGATGTAGAAAATCAACCGGACAACGAAGAAGAAAACGAAAACAGACAAATTCACACACACCTGCGCAAAGAATGCCTTGAGCTCATGACCATGAAAAGAGAAGCCTTGCACTATCAGCTTAGCTGCTGTAGCACTTTCTGGGGTGCTGGAATAGTGCAATTATAATTCGTATAAATTAAATCGGTTTGTACCAAGTGCCAACGTACCTAAAAATTACGCGGACCCGCCGAAAGCTTTTGAAATAGTCAAAATGGATATTCTCTTCGATTTGAGTAAATAATTGGCAGAAATTCTCTTTGTATTCCGGATTAGTGAACACCTAAATGGAAAGGTCTGATATATTATAAAATATTATAAAAAATCCAACAACTGAACCTTCAACCGCCTCAGTACTTTGCTGTAGCTCACGGCTTCACTTTGTTTAGCCATACATAGAAAATTTGGGAGTAGAATACTCAACCGACTTACCTCCTCTGGAACCTGCGTGACGATGATCGAATTAGGCAGTTCCTCTTTGCTTTTAACAGTTGAGATTTTCATGTCATTTTCTATATTATTAACCATATTGGCTGAAAATAGATGTCTATGGAATTACTAAATACTGACTTCGCATCATTAATATGCAATAAAAGAGCGAATAAAAAACACGTCAATAAATTTACAAACATTGCTGTTAATGAGGCTTGTGAAGGCGAAATATACCGTCGGGAGATGAGTGATGGAGTAAAGAGCAAATTGACAATTTAAGGACCTCATGTATTGATTTCGATGCATTTTCTTTCCGCGTGTTTATTTTGTCGCAAAGAACTTTTTCGCTACAATTTCGCTCATGAATCGACAGCATATCGAATACAAACGCTGTATCATGCGTAGTCCAAGAAAATTTGTATTCTACACTTAGTAACTTACTATAGTAGTTTATTAGACACTCTTTTTCCAAGATTTTGTTGCGATAGAACGAGTACAAGGACATCATCTACCACAAGAACTTTAGTTGGTGGAGAAAGTAGTGGGATAAGTTGACGCAGACAGAGTCCGCGCCTATGAATGTGCTTTCACAAATGTATCTTCTGGGAATATTATAAGTTGTTAGCTTCATCGTGCTCAAATATGGATAGAAAGACAAGGAAAGATGTAGGAATTCTTAGGTGTACTCAACAGTTGCTGTGAAGTGGATTATCAAAGGCTGACAGCACTGTTGGACTCCTGATAAGTTCTGCTACAATCAGCAAACATTAGAAATATTCCAAAAACATAGATGATATGTAAGGAATATAAATCCACAGAAATCAACGAAAATATAAGTCGGAGAGCAGAATTATAGAGCAAAAGAACGTAGTCGTTTTTTAATGGGAGGGGGGAGGAGGGGAGGAATTGGACTGAATGCATTGACTTCAGGGCAACGGCGAGAAACTTATCGTAGTCCCCCAATCGGCTCCATAGTGGGTATATTTTAATAACTTTATAATGAAACTATAAAAAGCACTGAGTAGTGCAACTGATAATGTGCAATTATGTGAAATGAGAGCGTGTGCAAATAGTACCATTTCCGTTAATTTTCCAAGTTGAAGGCTAAAAACTTTAGGTAAGTAGAATATTAGGAGAAACTACACTGGATATATTTTTAGGAAAATCGACGTTCCTTTAAACATGGTATGACTAACGTCGAGACGTTAGCCGAATGAAACCTTTTTATCAAACTCGTGTTAGCTTATCAATGAAAGAGCACATCCGATTTAGTTAAAGCACTTCTCTGCGGACCCAACAACAGAACACTCCATTAGGCCGCGAAGAAACAGAACTGACGGTGCCGCTGGAATATTCAGGCTATCTGTGAGCTTCGTCTTCAAAATAAAGGACTACATGGGAGAAGTTAAATATACATTAATGTGATGACGAAACTACCAATGAGAATAATGGAGATGTTGGAACTAGATAACGGTTTTTTTAAAAGCACGTGCTAAAAGGATGTATTCAAGCGCCACTTAGAAGAGACGAACACAGTCAAGACAACTTTCAAAGTCAATTTCAATAAACTACTCAACAAAGGTCAGCAAAAAACGAGTCTATCATGGTCGCTTTCTCGTGGGAAACTACTAGCATTGAAAAACAGCCATGAACACTATTTCGTAGGACATAAGTAAAGTGAAGTACAACCATAATGATGCTGAGATATTTGCAAAACTCCGGACCTATTCTAAGACTCGCATGTTGCGGTGGTGAACACGTTAGCCCCCGGAAAGGATAATAGCGTGTTCGTTCCCCACCACAGACACCAACTGTCCGAAATTTTGCAAATATCTCAGCATCATTGTGGTTCCATTTCCCATAGTACTCCGCCATTAAAAAAGAGTACGTAGTAAATAAAAAGTAACGACATAAAATGAAACACTCCAAAGATCGAAAAATGACATCCATTGCCTGAGAACAACTGAGTAACGAAGTGCCAGATTAATGCTTGGTGGAGTTCTATCCCATACAAATGAACACTTACACAACAACGATATTACAACTAACATACACAGCGGAATAACGGAGTAAAAAATTTGTACGATCATAATCAGAACAAAACATTCTTCCCAACACTTTCATTAACTGCACTATTGAAATACTGAATTGAGCAACAATAGGTTTTCTGTGAATTAGTGGATCATAGTGGCTAAAGATGGTATGCAGTACACACGTGGGTCATCGGTTCGATCCCACGCCTTCGGATAGCTAAGCCTCCCATTCGGAATGGGCAACCGGGTACTAGAATCGTGTGAAAGGCTAAAAAGGCTGACATGATAATTCGCTGTTTCTTTGATCAGTACACATGAGATTGTTAATGTACTATTTACTAACAGTAGTTGACCTCTCGGTGGATTTTGCTTTCTCTCTACGAAAAAGCTACTTTGTTTCCAATGCGATTACAATTTTAGGCTGCAGTTTTTCCGAGTTTGTAAAGGTAGTTCGTTGAACAGATTGTAGTCAACTCGACCTTTTTAGGCACTGAAAAAGGTTGGTAGAAAGTTGGTCTAGGGAACTACTCAATTGACAGATGGGTAAGCCACCCAGAGTTGTCGCATAGGCCAAATGTGCATTCAATTGCCTCTAGGATGCCACAGATGGAGTCAAATTCATGACTTATCACTCAAAAATGAGTCATCAACGTTGATCCAAATATTCGCTTAAACCTTAAATTCTTCCTTAGTTTGGTATTCAAGAACACTTAATTGTCATTGTCAGACTTCTGATGAAGTAACAATATCCTAAACAAAAACATGTTGCTCTATACGCCTTGCAAGTTAAAAGGAATTATCCAAACGATACCGTCATCGCTGCTATGGAGCAATCCGATTTCTTCGTGGAGATGAAGTAATCTATTAAATAAACCATCAATGTTATACCTTTTTGTTTATTGCCTACTATAATTTCGCGGCAGGGTACTAAGCGAAATACAACCACAACGTTGCTGAGATATTTACAAAACTCTGGACCGCAGGTGTCTATGGTGGGGAACGAACGCGCTATTGTCCTTTCCGGGTAGTAACGCGTTCACCACCACACCATGTGGGTCCTTCGTCTCGCCTGTTTCTCAGCTATTTCTATCGATCTTTGCCACAGCAATCACCCGTCAGCGGGATTGATCTGGGGCGACCAAATCGGCGTAGAACCCAGTTGAAAGATCCGCATGGTGTGGTGGTGAACGCGTTACTACCCGGAAAGGACAATAGCGCGTTCGTTCCCCACCATAGACACCTGCGGTCCAGAGTTTTGTAAATATCTCAGCGACGTTGTGATTAAACTATCAATGTTACTATTTTTGGTTATGAACCAAGTCACACAGAGACAGATTTTCTTGAGCCAACAACGTTTCGAGTGGTTATTACGATAACCCGTGATTCACCTCAGGATCCAAAGGTTAAGGGAGTATACCACATATTTCTATAACATTTCCCTGTTTGTAACTTGAATTTGTATTAAATGTAGACTACTAGAATACAGAAAAAGCACAATTCGTTCTCAATACTGCATTTGACAACCGAACTCTTTCTAAATAGCACAGGTACACCATTTGCCTCAAAAATTTCGGGATAACAGTTGACAATGACAGGGTTTGTTGACAACTTACATGAACGACGAACCCTGGAAGACGTTAACAGAACATGCTTCATAGTAAGCGGCTCAACAGTTTATGGAAGAACTAAGACAGTGTAGAACAACAGCTCCAGAACACTCCAACCGCATTTGAAAAAAACGAACCATAAATGGAGGCCATAAAAGTTGAACGAAAAGCGTCGCTTACAGAGCTGATGTTTGTTCCTCCCAGGTAATAAAAGTTATTCGTTTTCTTTTCTCGCAGAGTGACAACTAGACAGATTTAGTACTTGAAGACATCTTAAACAAGATTTTTTTAAAATTTTATTTGATCCGTCTTCACGTCTACTGTGCGGATTCCGGCACTTCTTGCATTCGATTCGTCTCCTCGCATCCATTGTCTACGAAGATCTTCCAACTTTTACATGTGGCTTCGCTTGCTGCTTGAGGATTTCATCTCAAATGTCGTAGAATGCTGGTCGAGCAATTCTCTCTGGAGTCCAGAGATAGCCGTGCTGGTGCCTTCCCAATTGGATTGCAGACAGCGACTTTTTCCCAGACAAGATTGGTATAAATTTTCCGACCCCAGAGGGACGAAAAGCTTGGTTGACTCTGAGCGGAATCGAACTAGCACCATGCTTGTGATAACGGACATCACTACCACTGTGCCCTCCGCTCCATTATACAAGTGTGGCGCAGTGGTCGGAGACGTTCTGTAATACACGTGGGATCGATTCCTGCCCCCCTAGGCCACCAAATCTCCATCCCTCCGGAGTCAGCAAATTGATACCAGACTTATTTGGGAGGATAGTCATCACAAGCATTGGCCCGATACACCGGTAGCCCATTGTAAGCGCATTGTTAATGCCACATATACAAGACTGAACCAGGATTAATCAAGAGAAAATTTTTGAAAACAACAATAAAGGATAAAAAGGATAACGCTCCCGGTGTTGATCAATCCCTGAGGGACGCGTCATTCATTCGACTTCATTAAACATCATTTGGAGGTGACTGAATGCATACCTATCCCATATAATGACTTGCGGTGGTCCACCGATCTATCGAGCCAGTGCTACTATCCTCCCAGACAAATCTGGTACCAATTTGCCGACTCCTGGAGGATGGAAGACTTGGTGGGCCGGGGGGTGATGGGATCAATCCCATGTGTATGTGTTGCAGAGCGCCTTCGACCACTGCGCCACACTAGCCCAAAAAACACCCTCGAGAATGTTAACACCATCAGAAAATGTTACGATGATCTTTGCGTGCCCAGAAAACAGAATCGTTCACTATAACTACTTGAAAACTGGTGATATTATCACGGTAGAGGTGTACTGCATAGAAATCCGCAAAATTTACCGAACAACTGCAAGCTCTACAACCATCACCGATTAACTACAAGGAAACGCATGTTGCTTGGTAACATCACAGTACTATAGTACTCGTGGCAGAGCTGACAGTGTAGGTTCGAAGAACTGAGA